TTCATTTTTGGTGTCCTTTGCCCCAGATGAGATGAGTGAGAGCCGCCAGACCCATGTGACACTGCACGACATCGACCCCCAGGCGCTGGAGCAGCTGGTGCAATACGCCTACACGGCCGAGATCGTGGTGGGAGAGGGCAATGTGCAGGTAGGAGCTTTTCCCCCAAATCCCCCTGCCCCACCGAGCTGTTCTTRTGGGATTTGCCTCCTGGGGACTCCTCTCTTCTCAGCACTGCCAGCTGTGTTTCTGTGGTGGCAGCTGGGTCTGGCAGCAGTCAGGGAGTTGAGCCTTTTCCCTTCCAGCAGTGCTGGGAGTGGCTCCTCAGAGCACTGTGCAATTCCCAGCTCCATTCCCAGCTCCTGCCCTTCTCCTGGCCCTGGTGGGTATCACAGGTGCCCTTCCCATCTGTTCTTTACCTCAGAATCCACAAATGCTCTGTCCTGTCTGTGCTTTGGTGCCTGAAGRTTCTCTCTAAACCCACTCTGCTTGGTACTGGCAGCGGGACTCGGGTGAAAATCATTTCCTTGCCCTGGAAATTCCCTTTTCCCCCCTGTTGTTTTCCACTGTGCCAGACCCTTCTCCCTGCTGCCAGCCTGCTTCAGCTCAATGGTGTGCGGGACGCTTGCTGCAAGTTCCTGCTCAGCCAGCTCGACCCCTCCAACTGCCTGGGCATCCGGGGCTTTGCTGACACCCACTCGTGCAGTGATCTCCTCAAATCTGCCCACAAGTACGTCCTCCAGCACTTCGTGGAGGTGTCCAAGACAGAGGAGTTCATGCTGCTGCCCCTGAAGCAGGTGAGGCCCCGCTGGCAGAGCGCAGGGCTGGGGGCAGCAGRGCTGTTCCTGCTCCAAAAGCCCAAGGGATGTGCACTGAGAGGACGGGGTTTGGTGGGGATTGCACCCAAATCGTGGGCTTTGGCTCTCTCTGTTCAGTCTGTGGGGAGAACTCTGTCAGCGGGGCTGAATCCCCCGGGAAATGAGGATGGGAGGGTCGGACAGGGGTCACTTTGGTCACTGGTGCTGGCCATGTGAGCTTGGAGCGCACTGCTCTGGGAGCAGTGACAGTCCTGGCTGCCCTGGGACGGTTCAGTCAGAACTCAGGGAATTTTTGTCGCTGCTCATCCATCCTGTGGTGCCAGTGTGGCCCTCATGGCCAGGAGCAGTTCCAGTCCTTGCTCTGTGTCACCGCCCTGTGTGGTCCCTCAGCAGGACCAGACACCTCCCTGCACCCATTCCAGGCCATGGCAGGGTGACAGTGAGGGGAGGGGACACACTGCCCCTGCTCCAGCTCTGCAGGGAGAGYTKTGGGAGCAGMCAGACCTGGGTCTGTCCCAGGAAACGTGGAAGGGACACGTGCCAGCAGAGTCATCCCCTGATCCCACTGACATCGGCTGGAATTGTCACCCATTGCAGGAGGGGAATGGTCAGAGATGTCCCCAAAAGCTGCTTTGGGGCACCAAAAACCCCCAGCATGTCCAGGAGGCAGGGCTGTCCCTGTGGCACTGCTGTTCCACCGGGCCGCTGCTGGGAGGTGGCAATGTCCCCTCTCCTGTCCTCTCCTCCCATCCACACCGGCCAGCACTGCCCTCCCACCCCACCCCACAGGTTCTGGACCTCATTTCCAGTGACAGCCTCAACGTGCCCTCGGAGGAGGAGGTGTACAGGGCTGTGCTCAGCTGGGTCAAACACGACGTGGACAGCAGGAGACAGCACGTGCCCAGGGTGAGCGGGCTGGGGAGGGGGGAGAGGGCTGGGAAGGGGGGATTAGGGGTGGAATGGGCTGGGAATGGGCTGGGAATGGGTTGGACAGGGGGTCTGGTTCTGCCCACCAGCTCTGAGTGCCTGGGCTGCAGGAAGCTGCAGGAGCAGCAGGTTCCTGTTGAGCCACTTTGAGTCCAGGTTGGAAAGGATCTTAAAGCCCATCCCATCCCATCCCATCCCATGGATCCCATCCTATCCCATGCCATGGATCCCATCCCATGAATCCCATCCCATCCCACGGATCCCATCCCATCCCATCCCACCCCTGCCACCATCCCAGGGTGCTCCAAGCCCTGTCCAACCTGCCCTTGGGCACTCCCATGGATGGGACAGCCACAGGAAAACCTGTGCCAGGGCCTCATCACCCTCTGAGAAAAGAATTCCTCTCTGATCTCTAACCAGTAAAGAATTCCTCGCTGATCTCTAACCAGTAAAGAATTCCTCGCTGATCTCAAAGCTCAGTCTCAGTTTTAGCCCAACCCCATGCCCTGTCCCTGTGTCCCAAGGCCTGCTCTGCTGTCCCCCCAGCTCATGAAATGCGTGCGGCTGCCKCTGCTGAGCCGGGATTTCCTGATGAGCAACGTGGACACGGAGCTGCTGGTGCGGCACCACTCGGAGTGCAAGGACCTGCTCATCGAGGCTCTCAAGTACCACCTGATGCCCGAGCAGAGAGGGGTCCTGAGCAACAGCCGGACGCGGCCGCGGCGCTGCGAGGGTGCCAGCACCGTGCTGTTCGCTGTGGGTAAGGCCCTGCCACTCCCCTGCCCCCATCCCCGCCCAGCCCGCGGGTTTTTGGGCTATGTTTGCTCTGTTTGACCTCCCCGAGCAGGTGGAGGGAGCCTGTTTGCCATCCACGGTGACTGCGAGGCGTATGACACGCGCACCGACCGCTGGCACATGGTGGCCTCCATGTCCACTCGCCGGGCCCGYGTGGGGGTGGCGGCCATCGGCAACAAGCTCTACGCTGTGGGCGGGTAAGGGGCACGGGATGGGGTGTGGGGCGGCTGGGGAGGGGGCACGGAGCTGGGCTGCGGGCTGGGAGGGCTGGCACGGTGGAAAAGCGCCTTTCCTGCACTGTGGCTTCACCAGGCCTCACCATGGTGGTGGCTGCATCCCACATTGGCACAGCTCTCTTTCTCCTCATTCCCCTTTTGGGTTGGAACCTTAAATCCCATCCTTTAAATCTCATCCCTTAAATCCCGTCCCATCCCATCCCATCCCATCCCATCCCATCCCATCCCATCCCATCCCATCCCATCCCATCCCATGGATCCCATCCCATGGATTCCATCCAATCCCATCTCATCCCTTAAATCCCATTCCATCCCACCCCTGCCACGTACAGGGACACCTTCCCCCATCCCAGGCTGTTCCAAGCCCCGTCCACCCTGGCCTTGGGCTTTTCCAGAGGTCCAGGATGGCCACAGCTGCTCTGAGCAGCCTCTTCTTCTCCCTCCTCTCCCCKCAGCTACGATGGGACCTCTGACCTGGCCACGGTGGAGTCCTACGACCCTGTCACCAACTCGTGGCAGCCCGAGGTGTCCATGGGCACCAGGAGGAGCTGCCTGGGGGTGGCAGCTCTCCAYGGGCTCCTCTACGCAGCCGGGGGCTACGATGGGGCCTCGTGCCTCAACAGGTACGGAGTGCTTGGCACCATCCTCCCTGCTGTGCCTGCATTTCCCTGACCCTGGGAGCGCTGCCCCTGACCCTGAGCAGATGTTTTATAACCCAGCTCCTCCTTCCAATGTGAAATCCCCATTTTGGAGCCCTCTGCCCCAACAGAACCCAGCCCGTGTCAGTCCTTCCCTCCGTTTCCCCCATTTATTCCCAACTTTCCCCGGGAGCTGCCCCTGCTGGCCCGTGTCCAAGAGCTGTGACCTGGGCTTTTCCAGTGTCCCACCTTTTGTCCCTGTGTCCCTGCCCGCTGCAGCGCCGAGAGGTACGACCCCCTGACGGGCACCTGGACCTCCATCGCCGCCATGAGCACCCGCAGGCGCTACGTCCGCGTGGCCACGCTAGGTGGGTGCTGCCCCGGGCCTGGGGGGCTCTGGGTGGGCTCTGGGTGGGCTCTGTGCCCTGCTGGGGGTTCTCTTTGGTGTTCTGCTCCCCTTCTTGTCCCTCTGTGGTGCTCCCTGCCTCTGCCCTTCTCCTCAGCCTCCCTGAGGATTGGGGTTCATCGCTTTGGGGGCAGCTCCTGAGGGGACCCATAGCATGTTCCCATCTCCTTTGGAGCAAGGGCTGCCTGTGGGTGATCCCCTGGCCCTAGAAAGGAAGGGACAACCTGATCAGTCCCTCA